GTCCACGTCCATCATACATTAGTTCGTGCAGAAGAAGACGCCCAGCCTTTTGTTCTTGATCCCCAAAACGTGCAGGTACGAACTATTGTACCTCTTCAAGGAAATTAGCGCCATCGGGTTGCAGATCGACGACAGCTTGTTCCCAGCCCTCAAACGTAAGTGCCGCGCACATGATCATGATCCAAGGATTTCTGTGTTACCTAGCACTAACCACGTCACACGCTGCACTGGCCAATTAATCTTTGGGTTCAGAGCTCCCCGGGGTTCTGGCTGTGATCCCGGACAGGCTTCACAAGGTCCAAACGACGCATTCCTGGGAGTTCCTCGGGCTGGAGAGCGGCGGCGAGCCGAAGGAGTGGAATTACGACGCCAAGTTCGGCGAGGGGGTCGTCATTGGAAATGTCGACACTGGTAATCTCGCAGTTCAATTACATCGTTTCTTCACATCAATCTAGCCCTTACATTCTCCCCAGGAATCGCAGTATATACTCGTGCAGTAGTACCACTACCAACTCGATATCTTTTGATTGATCGCCGGAATCTTCTCTTGACCTAATAATCAATTAATTGCTTTCATATCAATATGTGGGTTGGTCGTAGCGCGTATTCGGTGCCATGCATCATGCGTGACACCTGTCTTATACACGCATGCACTGTCGACAGCCTAAAATCGAAGCACTGCACATGTGAGCTTTGACCTGGATCCTAATAGTGAGCACTTACGTGGTTAATTAATAGTGGTCTTGACATGCATGAAATACTACGTAATATTCCCTCCCTTCCTAAATATTTGTCTTTTTAGAGATTTCAAACAGACTACCACATACGGATGTATATAGACGTATTTTAGAGTGTAGATTCACGCATTTTGCTTTGTATGTAGTCACTTGTTGGAATCTCTAGAAAGACAAATATTTAGAAACGAAGAGAGTAATTTGTTGTCCCCGCGCGATATATTCCATCCTGAACCAGACAGAATCAAATCCCGGTAACGTGCCGGAGTGTGAAGTCAACTGAAACCTGACAGATGATAGCGTCAAAGGCCCCACGATCTTACTCGAAATCTGTTACTCTCTCTGTTTCCAATTTCAAAATATAGTTCTTCCTCTATTCCTGTGCTTCAACTTTGACCATAAATTTAACCAACAAAACCGACTGCTACAGGAGCAAAAGTTATACCAGTGAATTCGTATCCAAAAGAAGTTTTCAGTTATATAATTGTTTCTCCTGCCGCAGTCGGTCTCATTGGCTAAATTTATGGTCAAAGTTCGACCTCGAAAAATGCGGGCGCACTATATTTTAGAATGGAGGGAGTACTCACTCCAATCCTTTTTTTTGTGGGGTACACTCCGATCCATATTAATTGACGCACGCTTAGGCTGGTCATAGTGGGGAGTAACTTAGACTAGTAACATGCATATGTTATTAGTCTATGTTACTACCTTCATAGTGGGTAGTAACATATGGATGGTAACATGCAAGCCTTCATTAATTGAGATATAGACTCATTTTGCTTCCGGGTGTGTTATGTTACAGTAACATATTATGTTACCACAAGCATCTCTTTCTTCATTAACTCCATGCCACGTAAGCAATTGTTTCTTTGGATGTGTTATGTTACTATCTAAGTTACTCCCACTATGGCTAGCCTTAGTGCAAAGTTGTACTAAGTGTGCGTCAATTAATATTGATTGGAGGGAGTAGCCTCTTCCTTTAGAGGTAACAATCAATTAGGTTGACATTGTTTTTGTACACTGCACACTTAAAAAATATGGAAATGGTGAATAAGTAGGTATGTGTAAGAAAATTCGTTTTTTTAGGACGGCTGTAACTCTGTTGGTACGGAAAATAATTCAGCAATTGATAGCCGTTCCATCAAGAGGTTATCATCCTTGATGCTTAGATCAGACGGTTATTAGCTTTAACTTAATTAATAGTTATTTCCTCCGTTCGCAAATATACCATGTTCTATTTTCTAAACTGAATCTATCTAGAGACACTTTAGTGTGTTTGTTCACCCATTTTAGTGCGTTATGTAGTTTATATTGAAATATACAAAACATCTTATATTTGTGAACAAAGGGAATATTTCTTAGCTAGTTTTGTTTCTGAAAGTTCACTAGTTAGTTCACAAACATTTGTGTATTGCACTATCGAGTAATCTTTCAGATTCATTGCACAACACAAGATTGTTTGATATGGTTTAAAGATATCCAACGTCCCAAGAGATATAAAAAATCTTCAAAAGGATGATAGACCCCCGGCATCTACATCGATTGATGCACACAACCATCCATTATTGCAAACTTCCAAGTGTCACATTTTCAGTCGTCCAGAAAAACATTCTCTGTAATAGTAGTGCGACCTTAGCAAGCTAGGATGGCCAATCCACTGTCATTCGACTTGGAAACATGGAACGACAATTGTGTTCCCTATATACCTCCCACTCCGATCCACGCCTCCTCATACATTTGCATGAAGCCCTAACATCTTGTTGTTGTTGTTGTTGTTCCAATCTCATTGTCTATGTCCTTCTCCACCAATAAACTATGCGCGACATCCTTGTCCACCCAGTGGTGGCGGGAATGCCATCGTTCTCGCATTTTCTGTACCCCGCCCCGGTTTTCACATCAACCTTGATGATGTCATGGAGTGAGTCATTAGGGCCATCGATTGGTTGTGGAGGCACAATGCAAAATGGCCATCATTGTTGCTTGTAATCCGTAGTAGACTAGCCGAGGTCGATGTGAAACTCAATGTCATATTTTGGCACAGTTGGTGCCAAGGATACTTGTTAGCCCAATGGAACATATAGTGGGGGTAAGGGCACGAGGTGTCATAATCGAAATAACTGAAAGTCTCCATAGAGAGGGAAAGACGAAAGATCTCAAAGCTACGCTTTCAACCCAGTCCCCATGTTGAAATGGCTGACACTTGGCATCAATGGTGGCTGCAAGGGTGCCGATTATGAGGGTAGGAAGCTCAGGAGGACTTGGTAGTGTTGGATGGTTGATAGGATGAAGATGGATAGAAGAAAAGGAGCATGAACCCTCAACGTTATCCAACCACTTTGTTGTGTCAAAAAAGTTGTTAGATAAAGAAAGTTCCCATTTCTTCCTAAACGAATGTTTGTTCCTTTTGAAAAAGACGTAATAATTACAATGTTTTTTTTTTGTTTGCTGAAACAAGTTTCATCCCCTTGTATGTTGCACTCAGGAAATTTTTTGTCTGAGGAAAACATTATTTTTACTACACTGACAACATAATAACATTTCACTTGACACAAATTTATGACAGATCAAAACACATTCTGGTTGCCATGGAATCAGATTTGTAGAGATGGGGAGAAAAATTATCGAGTTGAAGAATAAAAATCAGTTTCACTGGAGACGAGTTTTTGTGTGATTTTAAGAAGCTTTAGTTGCGCTTGAAGCAAATTTAAATATCATAGAACCAAAATGTCGCCATATGAAAGCAATTTGCATTACTCATAAAATTGATGGATTATTTGCTTGATTAATTAGTTGAAATTTTTGTGATTTGCATGATTGTCTTAAGATATTGCATTTAGCCATTAATATATGTTTTATAAGGACGTAGAAAATGTTCCGGCCGCGTGAAAGTTAGGGCAACAAATGATTGTGAATAGGTGAGCCGTAACTTTTGTCAAGTATACTTACCAAAAGATCTCATCCTTCTTTATTCTAGAACCAGCTCCTGATGCAACATTGCCGTTAAGCCACGGCACCCTAAAACAAACAGTCGTAAGATTACATTGAGAATCACCCAGATCCTCCCTTAATGAAAAGACACGCCCTTATTGAAAAGATGTCCTTCGTTAAAAGATATGTTCTTGAAGACTTCTTTTCATGGAAGGCGTATTGTAAAAGAATAAAAAGAAGAACCATAATTAATGTAGTATTATATTAGCACGTTACAAAATTTATGACTTTTCAAAAAAATAAAAATTGCGATATCAACGATACTTATTTTGGGCAGAGGGGGTAGAATTCAACATTTCATTTTGTTTTTGCTTTTAGACTATATTTAAACTTTGGTACTCTATTCATTAGAAAGTACAAGTTTTATATCTAAATGTTTAAAATAACTCCCTAAAATATATACTCCCTCCGTTCATTTTTTGTAAGTCGTTTCAGACAGCTCAAAATAAGTTGTTTTACACATTATCTGAAATGTCTTCAAGGTCTTATAAAAGTGAACAGAAGGAGTAGTATAATAATACTCACAACAAAGTGTGGGTTTTGCGCTAGTTTTATTTTATTTTGCATTTTACACGCGCGAAGGTGTATCGCCGACATCCGAAAGCTTCCGGAACGACGGCTTTTTCGCGCCGTCGGGGTGGTGCGGCAAATGCGATTCCGGCAAAGACTCCACCTTCCGCTGCAACAAGTAAGGCAACATTCCACTGACTTTTACGTCGAGTACAGTGCAACCAAGCAACATTTCACTGAGACATGCACGCCGTGCAATGGTGCATGTAGAAAGTTGATCGGCGCGAGGTTTTTCAACGCCGGCATCCAGGTGCCGAACTTCCTGGACCCGGAGCCGGAGGAAGGCAAGCAGCTGAACCAGACTGATCTGAACTCGCCGCGGGACTACGACGGGCACGGCTCGCACACTCTGTCCACCGCGGGCGGCGGTTTCGTCAAGGGCGCCAGCGCCTTCGGCCGCGGGAAGGGCATGGCCAAGGGCGGCTCGCCGCGGGCGCGCGTGGCCTCGTACAAGGCATGCTACACGGCGGGGTGCTCCAGCCTGGACATCCTCGCGGCCATATTGGCGGCGGTCGAGGACGGCGTGCACGTGCTCTCGCTCTCGGTGGGCGCGCCGGCCGCGGACTACGCCGCTGACCTCATGGCGATCGGCACGTTATACGCCGTCCAAAGGGGGTCGCCGTCGTGGCCTCCGCCGGCAACTCGGGCCCGCAGCCAGGCTCCGTGAGCAATCTGGCGCCCTGGATCCTCACGGTCGGTGCAAGCACCATGGACAGAGACTTCGCAGCTGATGCCGTCTTCGGCAACAGCACCGTCAAGGTCTGGTCGTCCATCGGACCTTGCATGCATGTACATCATGCAGCCTTGCTCAATTACTCAACCACCGCTGGCACTGTATTTGCAGCTCATGTAATTTATGTTGATAGATTGCTCATGCCGTACCGTTCTGGATGCATGCAACTGATTTGCAGGGACGAAGTCTATCAGCTAGCACTCTGCCTGCCGGCCAGCCATATCCGATGATAAGCGGGCAGAACGCCTTCGCCGCCGACCAATTCATCGACAACTCGTAAGAACAGGATCTTGTTTGGATCGATTGTCTCAGTGTGCTGACTGATGAGATCCCTTTGCTTGCAGGACGTTGTGCCTTCCCAGTTCGCTAGACCCTGCCAAGGTGAGAGGCAAGATAGTTGTGTGTACCAGGGGAGTGAACGGCAGAGTCGAGAAGGGGCTGGTGGTGAAGCAGGCCGGTGGCATCGGGATGGTCCTTTGCAACGATGCCAGTGGCGCCGTTGACATCATCGCCGATCCGCATCTCATTCCAGCGGCTCACTGCTCCTACTCACAGTGCGGGGATCTCTTCAAGTACCTACAGTCCACCCAGTAAGCAGCACACCAAAAAAAATTCCATTACTTGTAGTACATCCTGTATGCATTTCATTAACCCAATATTAATTGATGGGAGTACCTAGAACTCATCTAGATGAGATATAGTTTGGTCTCATTCACTTTGAAAACAAGAATAGGTACAACCCACGTCAGCACACACGCATCTTATAGCTGTGAAAATTGTAGTATGACTAATGTTTGTTGTTGTATTGATCTGACCCTTGTGTAGGGTAATATAAAAGTACAAGAGGGGTAGAGACTTAAAGTACAAGACAAGTTACATGTGGTTTAAACTAATTCAATCTCTATCTCTTTATCTCTAACTTAAACCCAATTATATTTCTAACATTCCCCCTCAGTCGCAGCGGGAGTGAAGCGGACGAGTACGACTAAATTTGAAGTCTTGTTTCCGTCGTCTTCTTCGCTGCGCCATCATCACTACGTCTCTGATGGGTCGACACCTAGGGCGGTGACTGCGTCCCCTTCTGGTGCCCTCATGCCTTCCCCTCTATTCCCTCCCGCAGTCACAGCGGGAGTGGCGTGGACGCTAGTGACGACACGGACGCTGTTGACTGGAGTTGTTGCCGATGAGTTGCTGTAGACGTAACCGTGTGGTCGATGTCGAGGTAGCCGGTCAGGGTGATGTAGCCGTGGTCGATGATGTGGTCGTCGTGGATGATGAAACCGCACAAAGCCGGAGGCACAAAAAAAATGCGCTATGACGGGGCTGCAGACGTGGACGATACACCTTGCGGATGTCAGAGGGTGTCGTCGGTGATGAGTCCGCCGGTTTTGCCAAGACTGGAGGAAGCCCATCGAGCACACATCGGTTTTGCCAAAACCGTGTGGTCATGTAGGGTCGTCACTGTAGTGACGCCGTGTCGATGCAGTCGTGTTGTCGTGGATGACGCGGTTGATGCCGTCGTCGTGACGCGATCATTGCCGTCGTCATGGTCGCCTCTTGCAGAAAAAATTTGTCAGAGGACGCTAGTTGTCCATCTTGTGGACGAGGCGGTGGCGGTGTGTCGACGATGATGTTGGTGAAGACCATGTTGATGAAGACCTTAGCGGTGAAGTGTCGGCGATGCAGCGTGTAAGACAATAAGTTTTGGGGAACCAGCACAACCCTCTAGGGGTGGCTTATCTCATTATATATAATGGTTGTGTTACAATATGTACCATATACGTACATAGGTACAGAAGCTATACATAGTCTAACACCCTCCCTCAATCTTAGCCACTTTCTAAAGAACTGAGAAGGGTAAGATTGCGCCTACAAGCCTCAAACTGTGGCAGCGGTAAAGGCTTAGTGAAGATGTCTGCAAGTTGATCCTTAGATGAGATAAACTTGATCTGGAGTTGCTTCTGTGATACACGTTCCCGTACAAAGTGATAGTCAACTTCAATGTGTTTCATTCGGGCATGAAATACTGGATTTGCAGAAAGGTATGTAGCACCGATGTTATCACACCAAAGAATAGGAGGCTGTGGTTGAGACAAACCCAACTCCTGAAGCAAAGACTGCACCCAAATAATCTCTGCAGTAGCATTAGCCACAGCCTTGTACTCAGCTTCAGTACTGCTACATGACACAGTAGCCTGTTTCCGAGCACTCCAGGCGATCAAATTAGAGCCAAAGAATACTGCATAACCCCCCGTGGATCGCCTGTCATCTGGGCTACCAGCCCAATCTGCATTAGAGAAGGCCGAAAGGACCCGAGAGGAAGTCGGCCGAATATGCATACCAAATGTCAGGGTGAACTGAACATAACGAAGAATGCGTTTAACAGCAGCCCAATGAGTATCCCTGGGAGCCTGAAGATACTGACAAACCCTGTTAACAGCATAAAAGATATCTGGTCTCGTGATCGTCAAGTACTGAAGTCCACCAACAATGCTCCTGTACTCTGTGGCATCCGCAGGAGACAAAATCTCACCATCAACAGTTGTTATCTTGTCGGTAGACGACATGGGTGTGGTGGTCGGTTTGCACTTCAGCATGCCAGCTCCCTGTAACAACTCCAAGGAGTACTTCTTCTGCGTAAGGACAAGACCAGTAGCACGAGAAGTGACCTCAACTCCAAGAAAGTAGTGAAGCTTCCCAAGATCTTTGACCGCAAAATCAGCACCAAGAGAGCAGACAAGAGCATCAGCAGCATACTGAGAAGAGCTGACAAGGATAATATCATCGACATATACCAAAAGATACATAGTGACTTCTGGCTTCTGTAGAAGAAATAACGAAGTGTCAGCAGTAGACGGCACAAACCCATGAGCACGAAGGGCAGAGGCAAGGCGGGCATGCCAGGCACGAGGAGCTTGCTTCAAACCATATAGTGCTTTGGAAAGACGACAGATATAGTCAGGACGATCAGGATCAGAGAAACCAGGCGGCTGTTTCATATAAACCTCTTCCTCCAAAAATCCATGTAGAAAAGCATTCTGCACATCAAGTTGACGAAGTGACCAACCACGAGAAACAGCAATGGAGAGAAGAAGCCGAATAGTGGTAGGCTTGACGACAGGACTGAAGGTGTCCTCATAGTCAAGACCATGACGCTGCTGAAAACCGCGAGCAACAAGTCGCGCTTTGTAACGCTCAATAGATCCATCCGAATGCTTCTTCACTTTGAATACCCATTTTGAGTCAATAACATTTACCCGTGGTGGTGGAGGAACGAGAGTCCATGTCTTGTTACGAAGAAGAGCATGAAACTCCTGCTCCATAGCCTCTCGCCAATGTGGAATGCGCAGGGCAGCCTGATATGAGCGAGGCTCAGAAGATGGATCCGCAACAGCAGCAGCCAAACAAGCAGCCAACCAAGCAACCGTACCATCCTTACGTTCCTTAGGTTTGAAAATGCCACTGCGACTGCGTGTATGTGGTCGGGACATAGGAACCACCGAGGTCGACGGAGCAGCCTGCAACGGGCTGGAGGACGGCGACGTTGACGAGTCAGCCGGTGACGAGGAGCCAGTCACGGTAGCCTCGGACTCGGTTGGCGAAGAAGGCCGACCCACCGGCGAAACCGGCAGAGCAGACGAAGCAGCTGGCGACTCCGGCATCACAGACCGGGCCGATGGCGAGCTCGGCATAGTGGGCCGTGGCGCGGCCGGTGTCGCGGGCCGATCCGCTGATGAAGGCGACGTGAGGACCCGAGCCGCGGGCGAATACGGCGTGACGGGCCGAGCCGCAGGCGAAGACGGCGTGACGGGCCGAGCCGCGGGCGACTCGGCGGCCGCTGGCGAAACGGACCGAGCAGTGGAGATGCTCGGCGCGACGGGCTCGTCGGGTGACCATGCATGGGCACGCGAATCGATGCCATGCAACATAGGGCGATCGACGTGCCCACCAGAAGACGACGATGATGATGGTGAATCCTCCAATAGCTCCAAACGAGCTCCACGTCCGGTTCCTGCACCATGGTTAGGTAACAGCAAAGGAGAGTATGCAACATCATCAAATTGGTCAGAAGCAACAGAGGATGAATGCAGGGATGGTGGTTCGACAGTGGACACAGGAAGGTTGGCAAAGGGAAAAACATGCTCATCAAACACGACGTCCCGAGATATATAGACACGATTAGTGGGAACATGAAGACATTTGTAACCTTTATGAAGAGAGCTATAGCCAAGAAAAACACACTTCTTAGAACGAAACTCAAGCTTGCGCTTGTTATATGGACGAAGATGCGGCCAGCAAGCACACCCAAATACCTTGAGAAAGGTATAATCAGGTTGTTCATTAAGGAGAACCTCAATGGGAGTCTTCATGTTTAAAACACGAGTAGGAGTACGGTTGATGAGAAATCATGCAGTGGTGAAAGCATCACTCCAAAACCGAAACGGAACAGATGCATGGGCCAAAAGAGTAAGACCAGCTTCAACAATATGACGATGCTTACGTTCGACTGAACCATTCTGCTGATGTGTATGTGGACATGCTAAACGATGAGCTATCCCAAGCGACTGAAAGAAAGAGTTGAGGTTGCGATACTCGCCCCCCCCCCCAGTCTGACTGGACATGAACAATTTTGTGCTTGAGAAGACGTTCAACATGTTTTTGAAACCGAACAAAAATATCAAACACATCAGATTTGCGTTTAATAAGGTAAAGCCAGGTAAAGCGACTATAAGCATCAACGAAACTGATATAGTAATTATGACCACTGACAGAAGTCTGAGCAGGACCCCATACATCTGAAAACACAAGTTCTAAAGGATGTTTCACCTCACGACTGGACTCCGAAAAAGGAAGTTGATGACTCTTCCCCTGCTGACAAGCATCACACACTGCTACATCTTTATGACTAGACAAACTAGGAAGCTCATGACGACGCAAAATATGACGGACAATAGGTGTGGCCGGGTGACCAAGACGAGCATGCCACTGTGACGGAGAGACCCGAACTCCACTGAAAACACGAGCGACACCAGGATGCTCCAGACGGTAGAGGCCCTGGCACAACCGCCCACTAAGAAGAATGTCCCTCGTGCCCCGATCCTTAATAAAAAGATCAAAAGGGTGAAATTCATAAAGCACATTATTATCACGTGTAAGTTTAGGAACTGAAAGAAGATTACGGGTCACAGATGGAACTCGAAGAACATTGCGAAGCTGAAGACTCCTATTGGCATGTCTAGTGAGAAGAGATGCTTGACCAATATGAGAGATGTGCATACCTGCTCCATTGGCGGTGTGGATCTTGTCGGAGCCATGATAGGGTTCACGAGTGTGAAGCTTCCCCATCTCGCTGGTTAGATGCTCTGTCGCCCCAGAGTCCATGTACCAGTGTGGATCGATGGAGTAGGACTGAGTGTGTCCCTGTTGCTTCTGCGGCGCGGGACGATCAGCCATGGCGACCTGACAGGCATTGTTGCATGTATCTTTGCCGTCATTGCCAAGACCAAGGAAGCTTCGCTGGAAGCGCTTATGACACTTGGAGGCCCAGTGCCCATCGCGGCCACAAAGCTGACACACACGTGGACCGCCAGCCCCCGGTAAGGTCGCAGTAGGTGGGGGGGGGGGCGAGGCGGGCGACGGTGGCAGCCCCAAGGGAGACCGGGGTGATGAAGAAGAGCGGCCACCCTTGGTGGCGGCGTTGGCCGAGAGGGAGCCAGTGCCCCTGGTGCGGCGAGTCTCGACCCGTTGCTCAGTGAGAAGGAGCCGAGAGAAAACCTCGTGTGCCAGCATGGGTGTCGAGTTGCCCCGCTCGTTGATGATCTCGACTAAGGCATCATACTCCTCATCAAGACCATTGACAATAAACGAGTTGAACTCGGAGTCGGTGAGGGGCTGTCCAATGGAGGCCAATGTGTCGGCGAGGCCCTTGACCTTGTTGTAGAACTCAGTGGCAGTGGAGTCAAGCTTCTGACACTCTCTAAGCTGACGACGGAGTGCAGAGACACGAGCCTGGGACTGCGCTGCAAAGGTGCGCTCAAGGATGGTCCAGGCCTCATGAGACGTCTTCGCGAAGACAACAAGGCCGGCAACTGCCGGCGAGAGCGACCCCTGGATGGAGGAGAGGTTCGCCTGGTCCTGCCCCGTCCAGACGCGATGGGCCGGATTGTAGACCGGACCGTGCACGCTGTCTACCAGCGCGGGTGGGCAGGGAAGCGATCCGTCGACGTAGCCTAGCAGGTAGTGACTCCCCAAGAGCGGGAGAACCTGCGCACGCCAGAAGATGTAGTTGTCGGCGGAGAGCTTGATGGTGATGAGATGACCGAAGTGAAACGGCGGCGGCGAAGACAATCCCATCGAGGAGGCTGCCTGGGGTGCAAACACCATGGAGGCAGCCGGAGGCACCGAAGCCGATGCGGGAGGAGGCGGGACCGCAGCCAGGGCGGGCGCCGCAAAGCTCGCGGCCGGTGCGGACGCCGCAAGGCCCGCGGCCGGGGCGGACGCCGCCAACCCCGCCAGCGGGGCAGTGTGATCCGCTTGCGGCAGGAGCGGCGGGACGACGCTTGCGGAGTCCGCAGCGGACGGCGGCGCCGCGGTGTGGACCACGAGGTCACGCCCAAGCGAGGGCGCCGGCGGCGTGGAGAAGACGGAGCTGATGCTCCTTGTCCCGATTGGAGCCGGAACAGAGACGGCATCGAGCGGGAGGTTGAGCAGAGCCGCAAGAGAGGCCGGGAGGAAGCCCGCAGCAGTGGAACCGGTGGTGGCGGCGCTCGACATGGTGGCGGCGCGATCGGTGGCGCGGCGGCGGCGGTGAAGGCGGCGGCGGCTGCGGCGGCGGTGCGGGTATTAGGGTTTAGAAGCGGAAGCGATCGTAACCTAGCGTGATACCATGTAAGACAATAAGTTTTAGGGAACCAGCACAACCCTCTAGGGGTGGCTTATCTCATTATATATAATGGTTGTGTTACAATATGTACCATATACGTACATAGGTACAGAAGCTATACATAGTCTAACACAACGACATGTCGACGATGATGTCGCTTGGAGGCGTCCCTCGTGACGACGGGGTGTCGATGTCGTGTCGTGCTAAAGAAGTCGATGAAGAATTGCACGCATTCCACACCGGCCTGACGTGTGGATGGTACATGTCGTGGTCGCTTCTTCGTAGATGTACTCGATGAAGATTTTTTTTTCTCAGGTATGATGTAGTCATACAACTCGATGATGTGGCGCGGGTCGGTGCAGATCTCTTGGCGAATATAGCTTGGTGCAGCGGTTATGGACATGGCTCGAAGATTGTGGTGGGCGACGGTGCAGGTTTGCCGGCTCGATGCAGATGTAGTGTAGAACGATGTCGATGCAGGATTGCTAGGTGAGCCGTACGCTGAACCTTGACGTAATCTTGGGCTCTTCGCCACACGTACGTGTAGAACCCACCTTGGCCAGTACCTGCATACATGCATCTGAGATAACATGCGAGTTAAATCCCTCCCGTGATCAGAACACCCGGCTGAGAGGCATCAAGATTGGTTCAAGCTCTTGCGTGCGGCCGGTGAAGACGATCGCTCGTTGTAGTCCCGCGCACTGGAGATCGATGTAGATGGCGAGCTGAACTGCTTCGTGTGGATGCGTCGGAGGCCGGTCACTGGATGCGTACTGCGTTGGGAGGAGGTCTGATTGGATCCGACGCGGCCGGCTGCTGATCGCCCATGGGGTGGATGCAGATCGGGTCGATCGGAAGGCACACGCCCGCGGAGCTGACGCCCTGATTGCTGGCTCTGCATGTCGTCGTAGATGGCGCGCTGGACTGCTCGGAGTAGATTGGCGTCGCGAGGCCGGTCGTCGACGAGGTAGCCTCTGGATCACGCTAGTGCAGCCTGCCGCGCGTGCTCCACCACGAGCATCTTGCTGGATTTTTCTCGCCGGATTCAAAGGTCACTGGATTTATTTGCTGGCTAAAAGGAATTGATCGAAACTAGCTAAGGAATTGATCTATTGCTTGTGAACTCGAAAACTGGATCTAAAACTACATGACCGATCAAATATTTGATTGATCGGGTGCCGCGCCTCCGGGAGAGATTAATTTCCCCGGGGGCGGCGAGCTGCGGAAGTGGTGGAAGGTCCTAGGATCGGCGTTCGTTGGACAAACCGCTCTAATGTGAAAATTGTAGTATGACTAATGTTTGTTGTTGTATTGATCTGACCCTTGTGTAGGGTATATATAGAAGTACAAGAGGGGTAGAGACTTAGAGTACAAGACAAGTTACATGTGGTTTAAACTAATTCTATCTCTATCTCTTTATCTCTAACTTAAACCCAATTATATTTCTAACAATAGCATCACATCTAATGGCTATAAAAGGTGAATGAGATCAAATTATATTTCATCTAGATGAGTTCTAGCAAAACTAAGGACGAACTTGGCGTGAAGCCAGCGCCGGTGATGGCAGACTTCTCGTCCCGTGGGCCAAACACCATCACTCCTCAGATCCTCAAGGTTGGCACGTGAATAAATTCCCACGATCTCTGTGTCTCCGCCGTTTTGCTAATTTTCTCGGGTGGCAGCCTGACGTTACGGCGCCCGGCGTCGACGTGATCGCCGCGTACAGCGAGGAAGCTCCGGCAACCGACCTGCCTTTCGAGGACCGCCGTGTCCCCTACAACATGGTGTCCGGCACCTCCATGTCATGTCCCCACGTGGCGGGCGTGGCCGGCCTGATCAAGGCGAAGTACCCTGACTGGAGCCCCGCGATGATCAAGTCGGCGATCATGACCACCGGTGAGAGCACAGCAGGCCCCCGCAGCTACACTAATTTTGTTAGTCGGCTGCAATCCCATGGACTTATGACGTGCTTCTTCTCCGCGTTACGTTTGTGCAGCATTCACCGGAGCCAACGACGAGGGCCAAATCCGGGACGAGACCGGCGCGGCCACCACCCCGTTCAGCTACGGCTCCGGCCACGTGAACCCCGTCCAAGCCCTGGACCCCGGCCTGGTGTACGACACTACGCCGTACGACTACGCAAACTTCCTCTGCTCCATGAGGCCGACCCAGACGCAGAACCTGCTCCCCTTGTCGATCCCCTTGCTCCTCCCTCTGCTCGTCGGCGCCAATGCCAACCCGTTCCAGTGCAGCATTGGCGCCTACCGCCCCGAGAACCTCAACTACCCATCCATCTCCGCGGCTTGCCTCTCCGGCTCCGGCACCACCACGGTGAAGCGCAGGGTGAGGAACGTGGGCGCGGGGCCGTGGCTCCAGTACAAGGTTACCGTCGTGCAGCCGACTGCGGGGGTCAGGATCACGGTGCAGCCGAGCACGCTGAGCTTCGGTAAAATCAACGAGGAGGAGTTCACCGTGAAGCTGGAAGTTTACGACACTGCCCCGGCCGCCGGCTACGTGTTCGGCAGCATTGAGTGGTCGGACGGGAAGCACCGCGTCCGGAGCCCCGTCGTGGCCACCACCAAGTGCGGGTAAGGCAGGGTGATCAGCTGAGATTCCTTCAAGCTGGAATCGGCAATCAAAAACACCTGTGATGGCACGCTAAGGTTGACCATTTGTGTTCGGCTAAACAAAAGAACCGTTGTAATCTTGTCCCTCCATGTATTGCCACAGTGTTGCATCGAAACGTCAGAACTAATCTGTAAGGGTAACTTCAGGGCAGGAGCCCAATAATGCTACACGCACGGACGAATACGGACGTTTACGGGGCTGACTAGGAAACCATCCGACGTGTCGGCGCTGAGGAATGAAACAGTTAGAAAAATGGAGAACGTGCCGCTGTTTACGCTAGCAAAAAAACAGAACGCAACGGAACGGTAGTTCGGTTTGCCCTCGTTCCACATTACTGATCGCGCCGCCTCGGACGACCTCGACTTCTCCCGCCGCCTCGGAGGACCTCAGCGTGTCCCGCCGCCAAGAGCACGTTGACGCTTGCTCCGCCGATCTGTTCGAGCCGTGGGCGTGCCTGTTCGTTCGCGTCGGGAGTAAATTACATCTATAGTCCTCTAACTTGACACTAGGGTTCACTTTCATCACTGTATTCAGGAAGTGTCAGAATACGGTCACTGAAGTTGTGTAAATGTGTCACCCTACGATCACCGCTACCGTATCCATCGTATTTCACTGATGTGGTATATGTTGACCTGTCCTAACCGTTGACTTGCTTACGTGGCAAGCTCATCCTTCTCATCTCTCTTTGCATCCGTTGAATGAACCTGAGCGCTGCCTGCTGCGTATGCCGACCATCCATGGAGCCCGTGACAATATACCGCATGGCTGCTCGGCTCTCTTCTGTCAACAGCCTCTACTTCCCCATCGCCCTTATTCACATCGCATCGTCCCTATCAAGGCGGAAGACCGCCCTGCTGCTGCACCCGCACAGGCTTGCCTTCTTCGACATGCTCCGAGATGACTACGAGGTCGGCTCGCACCTCAGCCGCCTGCGCCGCCGCCTCCTGGAAAGCCGGTTGCCCTCACGTGTACCTCATCTGCTTGCCTAGTGCGCCATATAAAGCACTTCTCCGACCCTCACGGAGGCCAAGCCGTCGCCAGGGCCGTCACTGCAATCTACGTCCCCTCCAGCGTTGCCAACTCATTTGTGGTGTTCAGAATACAGAGCGATGCCGCCGTGCGGGGTGACCTCCATGCGTTTCCCCGACTCAATGGGAGGCATACGATGGTTAGGCTGTAGCCTCGCCGAATCCGTGTAGCTCGACACCGTTGCCCGGCGGCGGCAGAAAGAACAGACGGACATATGCGGAGGAGCATAGTAGGGTGGAAGGCTGTGTTGACGAAATCACAAACATGGTGCTGACCGGCCACGCACGCACCCGTGCACTTGCAAACATGGCGCCGGCAATCGGCCAACGACGCTGATGGACTTCAAGTTGGGTGTGGCGCGGGAGTTGGGGATTCAAGTTAGCATCGTTCATGGACCACAGGAGGCTTCGGGAGCTCTAGAACGCAGCGCTAGAGAGCTACAACAGCTGTTGGAGCTCGGCGTGTTGTTCAACGGTGAACGCAGATAAGACGTTCGACAGAATTTCAGAGAGGACTGGCAGTAGAGAGAGGTGTATTCTCCACGTCAGCGAAATTTAATGGATACGGTACTAGTGGCCGTAGAGTGACACGTCCTGGCAACCTCGGTGACCGTATTTTGACCTTTGCTGAATACAATGGCCAAAGTGAACCCTAGGATCAAGTTCAGGTATTATAGATGTAATCTTGTCCCTCCATGTATTGCCACAGTGTTGTATCGAAACGTCAGAACTAATCTGTAAGGGTAACTTCAGGGCAGGAGCCCAATAATGCTACACGCACGGACGAATACAGGCGTTTACGGGGCTGACTAGGAAACCATCCGACGTGTCGGCACTGAGGAATGAAACAGTTAGAAAAATGGAGAACGTGCCGCTGTTTACGCTAGCAAAAAAAAAACAGAACACAACGAAACGGTAGCTCGGTTTGCCCTCGTTCCAGATTACTGATCGCGCCGCCTCGGACGACCTCGACTTCTCCCGCCGCCTCGGAGGACCTCAGCGTGTCCCGCCGCCAAGAGCACGTTGACGCTTGCTCCGCCGATCTGTTCGAGCCGTGGGCGTGCCTGTTCGTTCGCGTCGGCATTAGCAGGTAAACCCAAGGCCATATATACTCTGTAGATCAAAGCCGTGTAGTATGCCACAGGCAGAGTACGTGAGTTGTCCGTCTTGCTCAAAGCCATATACGAGTTATTTTCAGTAAACGTTGAAGTACTAGGTAAGGCTAATCAGACTTATGAGAGATGAAAGTTACAATTGGTTTGTACATAACTGTATCACGCCACATCAAAACGGCAAAATTCTTATGATTGTTTCTCAGTGCTTTTGTAAAGTTCAACATACAGTTTCGTAGTTCAGTTTTAACATGTCAATCTTCAGGTCAATTTGTTACTACCATTCAGTTTAGTTATATTGCCTTCGAACAAGAATGATTAAAATATTCATGGTCTATAGGAATGGATGATGGAACTTGTGGGGTCAAGAATCAAATGACATGTCTATATCAAGCAATGATGACAGCATTAAGAAACAAAGTAAAAATAATGTGGAAGTTGAACATCACCATGGTGGAGCTCAGCCGCATGCGTTACTTGGAGAACCAAAACTGGGAATGACCTTTGATAATGAGAATGACGTGCGAGAATACTACACCAAATATGCTAAAGCGAAAGGCTTTGGTGTGATGAGAAGAAGTTCAAATACTGATGCTAATGGACAATTGAAGTACCTTACACTTTCCTGCACCCGCAATGGTAAGACTCAGTCCAAATCAAGAAATATGTTGAAGCCAAATCCATCAGCCGGGTTAGGATGCAAAGCTAAAATTAATATTGCCCGTGGTCCTCATGGAAAGCTTTATCTTTCAACTATCATTTTGGATCATAATCATCCATTAAGTCCACAAAAATCTCGGTTATTCAGATGCAATAAAAGATTAGATTTTCATGTCAAGCGAAAGCTTGAGTTGAATGACCGGGCTGGAATTCGAGTAAACAAGAATTTCAATTCTTTTGTTGTGGCAGCAGATGGTCATGACAACCTAACATTTTTTTTGACCATGAAATGACAACCTAACATTTGGTGAGAAAGATTCTCGCAATTATCTAAAGAAAATAAGAAGGTTGAAACTTGGCAGTTGTGATGCTGAAGCGGTTCGTGACTATTTCATCAAAATGCAATCTGACAACCCAAACTTTTTAGTGTCATGGATGTTGATGATGAATCCCGACTTAGGAATGTATTTTGGGCAGATGCTAGAAGTAGAGTAGTGTATGACTCTTTTTGTGACGTCATTACTTTTGACACAACATATTTGATGAACAAATATGATATGTGTAGGATCGAAAGTATGTCTAGAGGGGGGTGATTAGAGTACTTGACCAAATAAAAATCTAGCCTTTTCCCAATTTTAGTTCTTGGCAGATTTTAGCAACTTAGCACAAGTCAAGCAATCAACCTACACATGCAATTTTAAGAGTATAACAGCGCAATGTAAAACAATTGCATATGTAGGTAAAGGGAGGAGTTTGAGAAGGCAAATGCAATGTTGACACGGAGATTTTTTATCTGTGGTTCCGATAGGTGGTGCTATCGTACATCCACGTTGATGGAGACTTCAACCCACGAAGGGTAACGGTTGCGCGAGTCCACGAAGGGCTCCACCCACGAAGGGTCCACGAAGAAGCAACCTTGTCTATCCCACCATGGCCGTCGCCCATGAAGGACTTGCCTCACTCGGGTAGATCTTCACGAAGTAGGCGATCTCCTTGCCCTTACAAACTCCTTGGTTCAACTCCACAATCTTGACGGAGGCTCCCAAGTGACACCTAACCAATCTAGGAGACACCACTCTCCAAAAGGTAATAGATGGTGTGTTGATGATGAACTCCTTGCTCTTGTGCTTCAAATGATAGTCTCCCCAACACTCAACTCTCTCTCACGGGATTTGGATTTGGTGGAAAGAAGATTTGAGTGGAAAGCAACTTGGGGAAGGCTAGAGATCAAGATTTATGTGGTAGGAATGGAATATCTTGACCTCAACACAAGTGTAGGTGGTTTTCTCTCAGAAAATGTATGTTAGAAGTGTAGGCATGTTCTGATGGCTCTCTCCATAAATGAAGAGTGGGTGGAGGGGTATATATAGCCTCCACACAAAATCTAACCGTTACACACAATTTACCAAACTCGGTGGGACCGAATCGTGAAACTCGGTCAGACCGATTTAGTTCATAATGTGACCGTTAGGCATTTCGGTGGGACCAACATGTCAACTTGGTGGGACCGATATTGTTAGGGTTAGGGCGTAACGTAATCTCGGTGAGACCGATTACGCAAACTCGATGAGACTGATTTCTGTAATAGACAAACAGAGAGTTGGTCAGGCAAACTCAGTGGGACCGATTCACTCATATCGGTTGGACTGAAACGTTACGAAAGGGAAACAGAGAGTTTGCATTGCAATCTCGGTGGGACCGATCGCTCATCTCGGTTTGGCCGAAACGTTATGAAGGGAAACAGAGAGATTACAATCCCATCTCGGTGAGACCGAGATCCCTATCAGTGAGACCGAAAAGACTAGGGTTTCTGGCAGTGGCTATGTCAACTGAACTCGATGGCGCCGAATAGAAAGTTTCGGTGGGGCCGAGTTTGACTTTTGGTTTGGGACATATGTGGATGTGAGAAAGTAGTTGAGGGTTGTTGGAGCATATCACTAAGCACTTCGAGCATGAAACTCATTAAGCAACACCTCACCCCCTCTTGATAGTATTGACTTTTCCTATGGACTCAATGTGATCTTGGATCACTAAAATGAAAAATGTAGAGTCTTGTGCTTTGAGCTTGAGCCAATCCTTTTGTCCTTAGCATTTTGAGGGATCCACGTTTCTCATCCATGCCATGCCCGCTCAGGTTTATCCCGAACACCCCAGCACTCGTGGC